TTTGGTGAATGAATTTTGATGGTTTAAGTTTGTTTGTGAAATTAAAAGAGTTTGATTTCTGCAAGGTAAAATGTAAATTGTGTGATTTCAAATAATAGTGTGTATGTGTGTGACAATTGTAAGTGTTGATTCAAGTTATGAAAGTTGTGTGCCTTTGACTGATATGCTAAAGTTGATTAAATGTACAATTACTATTTCGTACTGATAATGTCACTTTTTTAATAAATTGTAAGTTAAGATTCTTCACGCGGCAATACTAGTGCGAGTTGTGTTGAGTTGATGAGAGGCTGGTAGTGTTATTGAGTCTGCTGGTATCTCTTGAAACTCAGTGTCTGACTGACTTGAATTAAGTCCAGCGATTCTTTTTTATAGAGATTTTGGGTTTTCAAATAGGCTCCAGACAGCTGCGCGGGAAAAAAAAAAGATTTGTCTCAACTTGCTACATTTTTGTGTACTTTTAACCAATGGGAAGTTGAGTTTTGAAAAGTGAAGTGGTGATTGGTTAATTTGGGGAAGGGAGCATCTTCCTGTAGGGGGTGACAGGCAAGTATGAAGGATTCCATAATCTCATAAATTTAACATTGAATTGGCTAGAAGGAACCGCAAGTTCTATGCTAAACGTTTCTACTCTGGAGCTCCTCCCTCGTGGAACTCTCTTTCGCTTCCATTGTGGAAAATGTGTTCCGGCTTTCCCACATAAAAGAGTTACGGTTAAATGTGACAGAATTGATGAACGCAACAGCTGCTTGAAAGATTAGAGCGGACAATTCTCTCTTTTACGCGGAAGGAAAAGACTCAAACTCCTGATCAGGGTGTAACAATAAAAAAAGAAAATGTTTATTTACATGCGTAAAAACGAAGGTAATAAGATATAGAGAAATACGACAGAAAGAAAAGGAGAAGAAAATTTCTTTAACTTAAAGGAAGAAAAACTGTTAAAAAGGGCTTTCTCAAAATATTTCTCTTGGCGCCTAAATGTTCTTTAAACCTTTACCACATTAATTTCTTTGTAGCATTGTAGCCCCTGTCACGGCATTTTTTATTTTCTGAGGGTGCCAAAACATAAACACGTACTGTTTTAAAATTGTTATAACTTTCTTTGTATTTTGCGTATAACTATAATTTTTGTACACTAATAAAAGAACGAATGACTAATAATTTGATGTAATGCATTATGCAATGCATTGTGTTTTGCATGCATGTTTTAAACAAGAAAAAATTGAAACGCAAAATAAAAAATGCGAAATAAAAAAAAACAAATACATTAAAAATACATAAATAATTCAACGTACTTTAACTTTTGTTAAAAAAAAATAGAAAAAAAAATGAGGAGGTATAGAAAAAGTTGTTATATAAGCAGGAAAGTCGCAGGATTTATGAAGATGTATTGTTCACATATAAAATAAATTAAAAACAGTGCATGCGTCGGCCGGGAATCGAACCCGGATCGACTGCTTGGAAGGCAACCATGCTAACCGTTACACCACCGACGCCTTGCCGGAGGTTAAGGTTCAAATCTTTGTATATAATACTGCCTTTATGGTGATCTGCGGTTGCAATAAGAAGTAAAATCGTTAAAAAGGCTTTCATTTCGCCAAAAAAGTGACGTGTTTCCTCGTGTTTGCATCCAAGAAGACACTAGGATTTGTTCTTTCTTTCACCTAACATATATTTATTTGTCTCGTTGACGAAAAAAGTTATTATTTCGTTGTTTACAAAGAGACAAAATAATTTGCCTACAGAAAGGCTATCAGATATATCGATGGTCGCCAGTAACTTCCATAAAATTACTCAGGCATGGATGATAGTAGCCGCTAGTAGTTATTGTCGCTTTCCTCCACGTCACTAGCATGGTTATCATCTCCGACTACATCACTGTCAATATCCACTCGAGTAAAGCCATTTTGGAAGCAATGGTCGAAGTTCTGAGCGTTACCCCCAGATTTTATGGCACCATGGTCAGAGAAAGGATGGCCAAATTCCTTTTGATATTTTCCAGCTTTCTCTTTCGTCAGAAAATATATTCTTAACTCTGATACGGATCAAGGCTTTGGGTGCCGGATTTGAAAGCAGGGGAAAAAGTTGGGGCAAGGATTAGAAAAGTGTCTAGAACGTGAACTTGTAAAACATTTACAGTAGCGGTTCTCAAATGAAATTCTAATACCATGCTTCCTAGCCAACGTTGATCTTCCAAAATTTAAATACAATGTCAATCGTTATCTACTGTGTTCTTGACTACTCGATCCATAATAATGTTTCTTTCTTTCTTATGCTTTCATGCCCAGTAACCCCTTGTGTTTTACTGGATGTACTTGCCTTGCTGGGAGTAAAATGATAAAAACAGATAGCCTTGCTTAACAAAATATACCTTCATTTTGTGTAAATATGTGATAGAACAGGTGTTGGTGGGATAGTAAAAGATAGTTAAGGAAGATGTGGAGAGCCATGATATTCATGTCCTGAAGAGATGCATAGTACATAATGGAAAAAAATGGGGAAGTATAGAAAAAGTTGTTATGTAAACTGTCGCAGGATTTACGAAGATGTATTGATCACATATAAAATAAAACTAAAAATATTGCATGCGTCGGCCGGGAGTCGAACCCGGATCGACTGCTTGGAAGGCAACCATGCTAACCGTTACACCACCGACGCCTTGCTGAATGAAACAGTTCTAATTGTTGTATATAATACAGTCTATAGACGAAGAAACGTGCCTTTATTAAAGATGCTGACGTTGACGTTTGTGTGGCGAAGAAAAAGGCCAAATCAAACAATTTCCAGAGAGGAACATTTTTTTCCTCATAAGTGACGCATATGTTAGTCATTCTGGTGGGCGGTACTGACACTTTTTCGAAAAAATAAATAAATAAATAAACTAAAAAACATAGCATGATGAAAAAAGACCCCAAATCTTAATAAAAACAAAGTTTTAGCGTGAAAATGCTTATGTTATTGTTAATATTAAGAGGAAAAACTAAAGTATTTTTAATTAATTAAAAAAAACAAACAAACTTTGACTTCTTTTTAGCACGTTCGAAATTTGGTTAAAAATCTTGTTTTTTTTTTTCATCCATCAACAGTGTAACAGTAATTTCCGGTAAAATAATACATTAATTTGGAAATTCTTGCAAAAATCAGATCATTATCCGATTTTAATGAAACATTCAAAAGTCAAAACTTATTCACAAATAAATGTATTTATTTTTTAAATTATGATTTTTAGACAATCTTAATAAATTTTTTTCTCTTTTTACACTTGTTAACCCCCTCCCCCGTTGATTTAAGTTTATGAAATTTCTAGAAAGTAAAATCCATCCTCTAAATTTGTTTTATTATAGTTAAACGCAGGAATTCTTCAAGAATGTCATCCATTTTTATTTTTGAAAGTCACTAAGTTCCCGAAAAGTGCTTCAACGATTACCAAGCTTGTCTCGCTAGATCATTTACCACTGAATAGTGAGTTCGATTTTCATCGGCTGCTCACACATTCGATCTTGTGTCTCATCTAATCTACGCTTAGAATATAATTTGCTCGATATTTTCGGCCTTGTCTCACATCTTAGCTAATGATTTTAAGCAAATCGTAACCCCAGAACGGTTTTCAAAACATACGCGAACTGAATATGAAGTATTTTCACTGGGCAGATCTCTAAGAAGAGGAAGTTCAACAATTAATTTAGAGACAAAATCTTGTAAAGACTGAAAAACTGAACAAAGGACTAATGGAGAGGGCACGATAAAAGCTCATAACCGTGAGAGATGACAGATTTGGATCACTTCGACGAAGGATCTGCAATATAATCGATCCTCACCTGGCTTCTCTACGTCAGTCACTTTCTCACCGACGTGACATCCCTCTATGTTTTCTACAAAAATGTTCATGGCAACCGTTCTGACATCTTTTTTTCCCCACTGGTGCCCCGAGTACATGAATTTAAGCGTACCACTACATTGGCAACTAGGTCCCACCGTTTTACTTTTGAACTAGCTAAATTCTATTCCAGCAGTTTTTTTTCTCGCACTTCATACCTGTGGCATTCCCTTCCTTTTCCTTACATTCCTGATATATACAATCTTCAAAAATTTGACTGCAACGTCAAACGTTATCATCTGTCTTCTTCAATTCTGTTCATTTTTTTATTTCTTGCCTCATATTCTCAGTTTTCTCATTCTCTTGATCTTTCACTCCCTGTAACTCTCTGCGTATTAGTGACATTTGCGCCTTACTTGGGGTGAAATGATTAAAAAAAATACTGATTATCGAGTATTTGAATGTTGTAGGTGGCAGGAAAGCAAGAAATTGGAAGGAAGTTCCACAGGCAAGAAGTTCTAGAACATACGGTTGCATCGAGTTGGTTCAACAGTAAAACGGTGAGACCTAATTGCCAATGTCGTAGTACGCTTAAATTTATGCAGTTGATGCACCAAGAAGGAAAGGTCATCAAAACAATTATTATGAAAATATTTGTAGAAGGCAGGGAAGCATTGTCATGTCATTGAGAAAGTGACTGAAGTTTAGATGCAAGGTTCTGATAGCTTACATTACTGACCCTTCTTTGAATTTTGTCTACAATCTTGAGATATATAGTAGCATCACCAGACAAGATACCTCATCATTAGTCAATGTACGGACGAATAGAAAACTTATAAATGTGCAAGATGGCTTCCTAACGACCTGGGAAAGACGATAAGCTATATCCGACAGCAAGGCCTCTAATCTGAAGGTTTTGAGGCGCATGGAACCACCTCTTAATTGCTGGTGTTCCCAGGTTCACCCTGACCCGGGGTGGTAGCCTCTGTTAGGGTCCTAGCTATGGGCAAATACTTAAGCCGCAAACTGGGGTCAAAACACAGCAAAAGTGTAAAAATAAGTTTTAATACCAGCAATACATTTTTGGAAAAAAATTATCAGCAATACTTTCCGAAAGAAATATATTACCAGTCGGCATTAAATAGCCCAATGGGGTTGATATTCCGTAAAACAAAGCAAACCAAACCAATATATACTGAGATAGATAGATAGATAGATAGATAGATAGATAGATAGATAGATAGATAGATAGATAAAAAATATTACCAGCAATAAAAATCTTGTCGGCATTAAATAACCCATTGATGTGTTGATATGCCGTAAAACAAACCAAACCAAACCAAACCAATATATACTGAAATAGATAGATAGATAAAAAATATTACCAGCAATAAAAATCTTGTCGGCATTAAATACCCCATTGATGTGCTGATATGCCGTAAAACAAAACAAACCAAACCAATATATACTGAGATAGATAGATAGATAGATAGATAGATAGATAGATAGATAGATAAAAAAAATATTACCAGCAATAAAAATCTTGTCGGCATTAAATAACCCATTGATGTGTTGATATACCGTAAAACAAAAAGCAAAACAAACCATGGTTTCTGCCGATAAATATTGTCATAGTGAACCAGCTTTCCTAAAAGCAGGCCAAGAAAGTGGTTCAATATAATCCTTCCACTTAATGTTAGCGAAAAACTTTATTCATTCACTTCGCACTAATACCCTTGTCTTTTTCCCCTTACTACCGATTAAATAGCAGGTAAACTCTTTATACTTGGCTGGCAGCCGGTCTGGGAGAAAGCTCAAAAATATATTCTTGTTAAAACTGGCAAACTCGGCGAAAGATCAACACTTAACAGTTAAAATCCATAGAAGATTCTGCATTGCTATCGGTCTTTATCTGGCATCTTGGCTCGAGTTTATTGTCCACCACAGCTTCCATTTTCTAAAAAAAACATTTTCAAGGTAATTTTTCTGATGAGCTTTCTTCTTTGGCAGGTAGATGCATACTACATCCGAACCAACCTCGCGGAATTTGACGTCATTTTGGGTCCTTTTTTTTTTTCGTTCAACACCCTGAATTTCTTTTGTCCATACTAAGTTTCGAAACAACACTATATAAAATACCCTATTTTTATCCATAATATTGAATGTGTTAAAACATTTTAACAAGACAAATCTCAAGTTGATGTCAAAAATTGCCGCAAAACATTGATTTATTTAAGACGGAATGATCTATTATGACATATCTCTATTTTGGATTTAGATACATTGTATTTATTTTCAATTTTTCGAGTTGAATTGTTCACAAATTGGATACGCTCCATTATTATACATAATTAAGTTGGAATAAAATTTGTATTTTATATAAATACTACCTTTTGATAAATTGAGATGGCGTAGAGTAGGAGGCCCCCGTATCATCGATTTAGTGGCTATCATAGCTTCGAGGTAACGTAGATTCAGGGGAGTACAAGACCTTTGCACCGGCCTTGTCCCCTTCGTTCTAGTGGCATTGTCGCTTTCCTGGGGTGGTGGGGAGTGATATGTTCTGCTCATGCAAAATTTCGATTAAACATTATATAAAATTAACTTTTTTTTCCCTAATGTTGAATATGTTAAAATTGTTCAAATTTTAACAAGAAAAATCTCAAGTTGATGTTAAAAATTGCCGCAAAACATTGATTTATTTAAGATGGAATGATCTATTATATGTTTTTAATTTGTATTTAGATACATTGTATTTATTTTCAATTTTTCGAGTTGAATTGTTCACTTATATTACATAGGATTCCATTATTTTACATAATTAGGTTATAATAAAATTTGGTATTTTATATGAGTACTAGTTTATGAAATTTGAGATTGAATTGTAAATATAAGACAATTGGGAAAAACGTTTTCTTTTATATATTTTTTCAAATCCCTGTGTCACAAAATTTTTTTTTTTGTCTGCGGTTAATAAGTATTATTTCCTATTTTCTTCTATCTAATTGGTAAAGAAAATTATTCTCACTCTCTTCTAACTTTGCTTCTATCATCTGAACATCGATGTTCAGAAACTAACCTATTCCCATGACATTTCAGACAGTTTCAGTGCTAATTTGCTGAAGGAGAATTGTCTAGAAATTTCAATAACTTTCGAGAATCTGTCTGTATTTCTGAGATGAGGTATTATGTACACTATTAACATTATTCGGACTATTGTCCTCATCTTTGTTGCCATATGTATCACAGCGTTTCGGCCGATGGAATGTCGAACTGAAACCTTTATTTCGCTTGCTGAGGTAGAACTGTTCTAGACGTTGTGATAAATATGGCAACAAAGTTGAGGACAATAGTCCGAATAATTTAAATAGTGAACTTACGAGAAGTTTGTAAAAGTTTCCTGAATTTCTAGAATGTTCTGAGAACATAGATGACAGTATAAATACAGGTAACGTAAGGTCAGTACTACAGTTTACTTGTCGTTGTCCAAGTGCAGAAGTCGTCGGTGATAGATGCATTCGTCACAGATAGCATCAAGAATTTAAAGCATTTGGCAGGCGCATTTTGCTATGTCTGTGGCGAATAAGTACTCTGTGGAAGATCTGTTAAAATGTGTGAGGACCACAAGGCATATTTCGGCATGCTTGTCGGGAATCATAACAAAGTGGTCTGTGATGGACAAACACAAAACTAATTTTACGTTGGACTTCGATGGACACATAAAACAATTCTACGTTGGCCTTTGATGGGTACACACAAAAACAGTTACGTTGATTTTTGATAGACACACGCAAAAACAATACTGTCTGATCTCTGATAAGCACACACAAATTACGTTGATCTCTGATGGAAATACAAGAGATTCTACGTTAGTCTCTGATAGACGTACACAAGACAATTCTACATCGGTCTCAGATGGATACACAAGAGCACAGAAAAGAGCACACAAAAATACATGCTGGGAACTGATGGACACGTACAAAACAAGTCTACGTTAATCTCTGATGGACACGCAAAACGCAAATCTACCTTGGTCTCTGATGAACAGGCATAAAATAATTCTACGTTGATCTTTGATGGACACACACAAAACAATTCTACGTTGATCTCTGATGGACCCGCACAAAAGAATTCTAAGTTTGGTTCTGATGGACACGTACAAAACAATTCTACGTTAATCTCTGATGGATACGCAAAACGCAAATCTACCTTGGTCTCTGATGGACAGGCACAAAATAATTCTACCTTGGTCTCTGATATACACTTGAGACCTCTCCAAATGAACTCTAGAAGGTAAGATGGAAAGTTTTGCTTGTCTGGATAATGGCGATATTAAGTGTAAAATCTTTTGAAGATTTTGTAATTTAAATATTTTTTACTTTTAATTTTTAAAAAATATCTACTAAAAATCTTTCAAAAATCGCGTAGTCATGTCCACAGTATCATGAATGTTTTCTATACTGGATCACAGGCATGAACCATAAGAATATGAAATATTAGAGATGTTAAGTATTCAAGATTCCGTATTTTTATTGTATTTGCTTCATTAATTGGGGTCTAAAAATCAGAATTTTATATATCCAGCTCACGATTTTTAGAAATTTCAAAATCAAAAACGTAATTTTTTTTTGAATTTTTATCAATGGTTGGAAGACTATTGTCCTCATCTTTGTTGGGATATTTATCACAACGTTTCGGCCGTTGTACGCTCTGACCTTCTTGGTGGTTGGAATGTCGAACTGAAAGTTCTGACTTCACTTCGACATTCCAAACAGCTGAAGAAGGCCGGAGCGTACAACGGTCGAAACGTTGTAATAAATATGGCAACAAAGATGACAAAAGTTCGAATAATGTAAATAGTGTACATTATACCTCATCTCAGAAATATAGACAGATACTGAATGGTTGAAAGTTTTTTTTGTATTTTTATACACATTTTTTTTCTTTTTTTGCAGGATAGTACACAGTGGGGAATAGAACCGTGAAATTCGAAATCCAACGGATTTGGAGGGAAACAACTGACCAATCAACCAATTGCTCTTCAGCATTTTGAACCCTTACAAACGTCCAGCTGGCAAGATTGCGCGTTCTATCATATATCTAGACCATCTGTTATCCATCGCCCCAGTTCCACATCACCCTGAGCTCCCCGTATCCACTCCATCAAAAAGAGAGTAACCGTCTTCAGAAGATAACAGCAATTCAGAAGAAGGTGAAGTCTCATCAATCCAGATTACAGAGGTGCAGCTGAATAGAGAAACTTATATTACCCCACAAAAGACCTCAACGCCCTGATCAGAGGTCTTGGTCTCACAGTCCTAAGCCGAAATTTTAACGTCGAGATTAAGCCGTGGAATTTGTTAGATGAAAGTGTGCAAGTCGCGGGTCAGAGAAAGAATCACCAGTGTTTTTCATGATTTTTCACCCGTCAAGATGGGCTTTGCTTCTGTCACAATGTCACTGGTCTCTTCGAGGTCCCCTTACCCATCCTTCCAAAAACAGAAAAGCTGTTTCCGAAGAGAGCAGCTATCTTCAGAAGAGGATGAAGTCATTGACCCAGGTTACAGAGGCGCAGTTGACGACAGAAACCCATATTACCCCACAAAAGACCTAACCGCTTTGATCAGAGGTCTTGGTCTCACAGTCCTATGCCGAGATTTTGACGTCGACATAAGCCGTGGAATTTGTTTGATGAAAGTGTGCAAGTCGCGAGTCAGAGAAAGAATCACTAGTGTTTTTCATGATTTTTCACTCGTCAAGATGGGCTTTGCTTCTGACACAATGTCACCGTTCAAATAACTGGAATAAGGTATAACCCCAGCGAGTTGCGCCTCTTTTTCGACAGCACACACAGGACCCTCAAAGCTGTGTTGCTTCATGACGGGAACATGTACACATCTCTTCTCCTGACTTACCCGGTGCAGCTCAAAGAGAAATACAGCAGTGTGAAGATCTTGCTAGATGCCTTGAAATATGAAGAATACGGTTGGGTTTTGGGTAATCGGAGACACCAAAATGGTTGCCTTCCTGATGGGGTCTCTAAACGGCTTTACCAAATTTCTTTGCCTTTGAGAAACACCTGGGTACACTACTACCGGCTGGACTGGCCATATCGGACCGAGTTCAGTGTTAGGTGGAACAACCTCAAATGGGAGTCACTGTTGAACCCCCGCAGCGTATATTTTTCCTTCGATCCACTTAAAATTGGGCCTTATGAAACAATGATACACTTCCGCATTAAAAAAAAGAAAGAAAAATTAAAAGTAATAAAAATATTTTATTTATTGACCCCTCAAAAAATATCCACACCGCTTCAACCAACATTACGTTTTTAATACACTTCAGCTCTATATAAACGGCCATCAAATCTGCTCCTTTTCACTTTAACATTGCCTCCTCTTTATTAATTCGTGTTAACTCTCGCTTTTTTTCTGTTAGAGATAGTTATTGTACTCTAGGCGACACGTTCTAGCAAGGCTCTTTTATACCTTTCGGTACTGTGGCTTCCACAACAAATAGAAATGTGTTGGATGCATTTTGAGGCATTTTATTATGCAACATTATT